TTGAATGCGCCAACAGCTGCTACCAAGAGTAACTAACTATTCAATGTCTACATTTTCACATTCCAACATTGTGAGTTAGTAGATACTCATAGCTCATGAGTCAAATGTGCTGTGGCTGATGCAGATGATGATCATGATGATGGCGGTTACTCGACTCGTCGAAATCGTCAAAGATTCTTATCACACTTTGCCAGCATCGTGGCTTGCGTCGGCAATGCTTATATTGTATATATATATTTTATTTCATTCATTTTTCATTGAATTTTTTTTGGAATTTTTTCTTTCAACTATTTATTCGCCTATTTTTGTCTTAATATGCTTGTATTGTTGTAATATTATTGTGCACAGGCGCATGCTTTCGAAAATGAAACCATAGATCTTGCATATTCGATAAGCGTCAAAGCAATTGTTGCAAATATATTGAAAAAAAAAATGCAAATAAAATAACTAAAATGTAGTAAAAATAAATAAAATTACTTTGGTCTTGGTTTTGATACTTTTCTTTAACTGTTGTGTGATTTTCTATGTTTTCCTTATTTTTTCCTATTTATTCGTATTTTTTTTGCTTCTAAAATAATTGTTGAGTTCTGATCACGATTTACCAACGATGACAAATATAGAGTTTATTCTACAAAACGTCGTTTTTTGTTGTTTTTATTATAAAAGTGCAAAAATTAAGAAATTAAATGTGTCGCGTATACTCGTATGCTGACATGCGCATGCGCATCAGCTGTGTGGGTGTTGTTATGAAAATTATGTTAAATATGCATTGCAAGTGCAGCATCGCTTTGATCTTGAAGGGGTTGCGGTGCATATATATGTACTTACATATATATTGCTCGAAATATGAAATACCCTGCGCATGTGCGTGAGCACTTAGGCACTTCCCTTTATCTCACATTTCTTCTTATCATTGATTGTGTTATGTTCAAGCGTGGCGCCATTGCTTACTTACTTACCATCAGCTTTATGTCATATTCTCCTACACTTTTCTTTAAACTGTCAAACTTTCACCTGCAATGAACTTCAAATGTATTTATTAATTGCTTGTCATGATGTCAGTGAATTACATGTGGCGCCTATTCATATGTAATAAAGCTTAGAGATCACAGAAATGCCATTATATAAATGGACGAAGTACTTTAGCTAATAAAGTATTGATTTGGAAACTGTGTTTCAATTTCGAGGATGATAATGACAATCGAAAATATGTAAGCTGAAATATGTACATATTTACTCGCAACTTCGTCTTCATGGAATTGTAAGATGGTTCTTATAAGAAAGGAAATAAAGTTTTCCACTTGCTAGACCAGGCAAAAAAAATTTGTTTTCCAAGCAAATAGAACCATAAATATAACTCTTCCAGAAAGTTCGATGCCAAAAATCCATGCCTTGGCATAGGCAAAGATCCATCTACGTTTCACATATTTAGCAAAACCGGACCATCGAGTCTGACCTGGGACCGCAAACCGGGAAAAAAGTGTTCACTATATAAACTTACGTGAAAACCAATTCAATTAGATCAGTCCCATGTCCACATCACGGAAAAAGTGTTTCCCAAGTCGATCTAGGCAAAGAGCTACTCGTAAACCAAATTTCATGAAAATCAAGCGGTTTAAAAAGAACTGGAGTTTTTTGTATAGATGGGTCTCAGGCCACATCATATCTTAGCGAGTGCATACGTCAAACGCAGAGCACACCCTCCAAGTTTCAGATTTCTAGGAGCAGCAGTTTAGGCTTGAGTTAATCTGTCAATCATCACAAATGAAAAATTAACTTCAAAATTGGTATAAAATATTAAAAAAGAAAAGAAATTTTGGGGTTCTTAGTTTTATTGCACTGTCTCCAAATTAGTGAAAAAATTACAACAACAGTTTTGGACAGTAGAAATTATAGCAGCTATTTTGCAAATCATCACGTTTCCTTACCTGATTTCTCTTTCCAGACACCTTTGAAAAGAAATTTTTTTGAATTACAATCAGTTCAAAATTTTGTCAAAAATTTTAGTTTCATCTATTCTCAAATTGGCTTCCACACTGCGTTTTGAAGTGAAGAAAGTTATCAGAGGTCAGTAAGAATAGAAATAAAGAGATAAAATTTCCTTTGACCTAACATTTGGCTAAGTCGGATGTGCATGGAACTCGTTTAAATTACACAACTTTGCACTGTATTTGCCCTTTTTAATGTACTAAATCTTTTAACCAACACCTCTTCAGGGTTTGCGACCGGAATTTTCTGATAAATAGAAATACAAAACAAAATATTCGTTGAATAATCGGATTCGAAAATATATTATGATAAATTTCGAAACATTCTATACGATTTTGGGACAAGTGAAGAAGAAGACTTGATCGGTATACATAAGAGATGTTCAAAAACAAGAAAAGCAAGCAAACCCCTAACGATATTCATAAAGTCTAAAAAATAGATTTTGAACTCTGAATAGTTCTACGACCGCTAAAACTAATAAATTATTAATTTTGATTATTTTAACTAGTTTTGAAAATTTCGTTTTGAGTTGCCCTTCCATCTTGCGTGATAAGTCTAGTAATTAAGGCCACTTAAAACCGTACTTGTGCAAGATTTTCTAGATTCACTATCGGAAGAGCTTAATATTCCCGTTAAGACATTTCGTCTTTGCGTTCAAATAATTCGTTGTTCTCCATGAAACTACTTGTAAGCAATACCGAATTTGTCTACAACCATTCAAGCTTTGGTTCCCGTTCGATTTCAACTGTTCTATGTCAAGTTTGTGGACGAGCTGGGCACTTACATGGAGAATGCTGTACTATCTCCTTATTCCTGAGCACAGTGCAACTCTGATATTAAAACTTTATTCATTTTGACCACTCTTGTTTTTCAATATTGTTTTGAACAGAGAATAAAAAGTTCTTCTCTGCTGCATCCATCAAAAACTTATTTAAAACGTCCTTAATTGTTATGCTGACATATTCACACCATATCCGCTTCGGTATTTTCCATAGCATTTTAAACTTCTTCCTGATCATTCCCAACAGACTTGGTGTTATTTCCGCCTCGGATTCGTCAAGAGAAGCCTCAAACTCGTCAAGCTTTTTCGTTATCAAAAAGTTTCATGTGGCCGGGAGACCATATTATGGAGATGCCGAGTTGTCCCACCAGCGAATCGGTTGTATACTGCCGCTTTTATTCCATATATGTAGCTCTAAGGCTTTTAAGTGCCTAATGCGAAGGCTTGAAAGATATCCGCTGAGTTTCGTTTGCAAGTATAGAGAGAGAGATATATACGAGTACCTAAATTATAAGCCACAGTCAATTTTGACCCCGTCGGTTGAAATTGAGATGGTATCCTCCTCACCGTCTACACCTCTACTCCATTCACATACACGAGCAGTAGAGACTATTCTTAGCTGCAAGCAGCTATTAAAGGAGGATATGAGGATATAGTCTGATTTATTTGAAGTTATTGTGAGCTGGATATCGCATTTCCATAACATACTTGCTTTTAACCACCCAACTTCTGGTAGCTTTCTGCAACTTTTCAAATGAAATTGGATTTAAATTAGATACACAGATGCCCTTTAATTGTTAGATAATGTATTAATTCCAAATTAAAAAAGAATTATCTATCAAATATACATTCGTCTATATGTTTATTCGTTGCTCTTCTTTCAGTTCAGTTTAATATTAATCTTAATCCTGAGATATTTTCTGTGGAGCACAGTGTAGAAAGATGGATTTGAGGTATTTTGGTCTCATTTGTGTATAGCCTCAGCTCCGTTTTACTAAGATCAACACTTAGGTCATTGTTAGCAGCCCTTGAATGTAATCTTCGTAGAGCCTTTTCCATAATCTAACTTATCGTGGATGGAAACTGCCCTCATACCATCAACAAGAGACCCCCACATGTGCTACTACTTTGACTCTTTCTCCATTGAGTTGGATTAGTATTTCGTTACGCTGCGATAAGACAACCTCCTTGAGGAAACTCTTCGTCTACGTAGTTTGTACATGGCTTTGAGCAGTTCGTAACATAATATTTCTGCTAACCGATGCTTTATACGGGACAGGCTTCGTCAAGGTATTCATGTATCGTACTATTTTTTTTGGTTGCCTCTCTTAGAAAAGAGTTCCATTATCAGAAACATTTCATTCCAAACTACTAAGTGGCAGTTTCTCCACGGATGTTTATCGAGTTAGAGACCCTCAAAGATCTCCTTGAAAAAATTTTATCACGCAGGGGATCGCAAATGTATTTTACTAAATTACACACATTTCTACCTATCTGAACTCTCATTAAAGGCGCCAGAAAACCATGTGTTTTATTTTTATTTCTATAAATTTTTGCCTCATCACAATGGCAAACATAGCCAAATCTCCGAATCTCCTCACATCAACACACCACACAAACCCTCACTCATATCCATACGCCAAACCTGTGATAGAGATTGTTGCAACTGATAAGCGGGAGCCTTTAAGGCGCAAACGTTGATATACTCCAAGCAAATCCTATACATGTAATTTGCATATGCAGGAAGCAATGCCAGGCTGAGCGCACAGCTTGATGCAAAAGCCGCCGCAGAGGCACACAGGCAGGCGATGAATTGAAGAAACAATGCGCACACCTCATTGCAAGCTCAGCAGGGCGTGGATGAGTGCTGGGAGTATGTGAAAGACAATGACAACACAATGCCATTGGCGCTTGCAATGACACACATCATTTTTGCAGACATACATATATATACATGAATGTTAATAATGTATGTATATATGTATGTGCTTTTTATTGCCGAGGAGAGGACAAAATTAAAACATTATCCGATGGTTGGCAGGTGATAACCTCTTTGTGGGCGGCATGATGATGGGCAGGTGGAGCTTTTGAATATGCGGTGCTCAAAGCGCATGAAAAATTTGAAAGGAATTTCTGCACTGGCGCTTAGGCACTTTAACTTTACGAACTTTAAAGTCTTCTTCCCGAAATTGCTTTTATAATTTTCTCTTTCTCTTCTATCTCTTTACAGTACCCCGCCCGAAGGGACAACACTCTGCGCCACGTGGCGGTCCACCGCGCTCTTGGACCAACTCTGAGCTCACCGAGGCGCTGCAGCATGTCTGGAATAAGAAGATGACCACCTCCCAAGCTTCACGCATCTTCGGCATACCCTACAACTCGCTACTAATGTATGTGCGCGGTAAGTATGGCAAGAGCCTGAAACTGGAGCAACTGCGCAAAGACTGCATAAGTGGTCCACCACTTGAACTGCTGCAACTCGGTCTAGGCGGCAGTGGCGGAGGCGGCAAGCATAAGGAAGGTAAAAATAAATCATCGGCACATCACAATGCAGATAACACAGCAAAGGGTAATGCCGAGCTTGATTTGGGCATACCACTGCCGGGTATGGTGCCCGGCGGTAATGGCGCAAACGGACCGCGTAGCGCCAGTTCTGAACCAGATTTGCTCGGTGGACCCAACTCAATATTCGGTCCATTTCCTGGCGCCTTCTATCCCGAATTTCCTGGCGGCTTTCCTGGTCTGCCATTGAGCATGCTCAATTTGCTGCCACCTACCGATCGGCATCAACCACACGCCGCCGGCCTGTCAGCGTTACACCACCTTGGCATGGATGAGGATTGCAAATCGGATCGCTCCAAGCAATCTTCATCATTGGGCGACGATGATTTCGCCGCCAACGCAGCTTTAGGTGCGGGTATGCAACCGCTCGCGCTTAATCGTAGCGACAGTGAACGACGTGGTAGCAGTGATATGCTTGCGAATTCCAACTCACTAGGAGCGCCGCCACCGCCACCACCACCCATGAATGCTGCCGTCGGTGGTGGGGGTGCGCAACAAAATGGCGGTATGCAGGATTGAAATTTCTGGCGGGATTGGGCCGCCAACCCCATGTTTTTCCCGCCAAACGACACATACGATGTGGAAGAGGCTATGAATGGCGGTATTGGTTTGGCTGGCCATCACCAGCACCAGCAACAGCACCAACAACAACAGCAACAACAACAGCAGCACCACCACCATGAGCACAACAATACGCGCAACAACAATTGCGGTAACGGTATCGGCAACGTCGTGCGCGCAGCCAATCAATTTCGTGAGTTCAATCAAAATCTCTACATGGCCAGACGTAAGCTAAAGCGTCTGCGTCAGCGTCAATATCGACGTTTCGAGGTACCAAGCCGCAATGTGGAGAACGTCAGCGGCGCGAACGACAATGGTGGCGTCGAGGGTGATGAGTTCATCTCGCTGCCAATGGGGCCGCCACCGACGTCGCTGTCTTTGCCGCCGACGGTCATACGTACTTAATTTAATTTAAACGAATCATTGTAATATTACATAAGCTGAGCAGAGCTGGGTTAATTGTAAAATAAAGTGGAACGAAATGTTGATGCAAACGGTGAATGGAGCGTAGTAAATAATATGTATAAACATACGCATGTGTTAAGTAAATTAATTAGTGAAAATTTGTGTAATAGACAAAAAGTGAGTTAAGCAAAAAATTGCGCATATACTCATACATATATGTATATGTACATGTGTATGTGTAAATTATAATAACTGTGAATTGTTGTGAATATGGAATGAATATGCAATATTTTCTTTTATTTTTAGCTTTTAGATTTGATTTTATACAATAAGCAAATACAGTTTGCTAACTGTATACATCAGCAACAGCAAAAACAACGATATTTTTTTTTTGTATTGTATAATACGTAATTTTATATTATATTTTCAACACAAGAACGTGTTTAAGTTTTCTCCTCAAAAGTGTGTATCTACGGAAATGTAAATGATTCTGCGTCGGAAAATGATTTTTATTCAAAATTTCAATTCATTTTGAAATCTTAAGAAAATGGCAAGTCAAAATTTAGCAAGAAAGTGCTTTACATACAAACTGGATCTGATTTAAAAAATTCTCAAAAATCAATAGTTTCATAAGACAATAAAATCTTCGACTTTTCTTCCTACACATTTTAAATAAAAAAATATTTTTAACACTTCAAGACCTTTTCTGTGCAAAATACACTTTTTTATTATTTTCTACACATTCTGCATCTGTGTACATACATATATATAAACTAATTATGTATATCGCGGACTTTTACTTGATTTTTGAATAAAAATTTGCTATAAAAATTATATAATATAATCAGCCTTGTAGGGAGTTTCATGTGAAAAAAGAGAACAACAACAAAATTAATGTAAAACAAAATTAAAGTTCGATATTTTGTTTTTGTTCTCTACAAAAATTTCCACACGAATTTTTTCACATGAAATTCACAATAAAACCGAATATTATTTTATGTGATTTAAAATTTAATTAAAAAGGATTTTATTCCTAAAGAAAACAGAAAAGATTCGTTACTTATTTACTGTTCTTATAACATTGCTTTGTCCAAATTTTTTTTAAACAAATAATGACCAGCACTTCATAGAAAGATTCATTTGAAAATCGTTTACCCTTGCAGTGTTGCCAGCTTGGCATTTTAGTACGCACATTTTGAAGCATTTCCGTACGGTTGTAAATATTTAAAATTAATATTTTAACAAGTAACTAATTATAGAAATAAATTTTCCATTTTCACGCAAAGAAAGTTACTTAAATTTCACGCTTTCCTTTTAAATTTTTAATAAAATTAAATTCTTAGTGTTTCTTAGAGCAAATTTCAAATTCTTCTTTCTTATATTTACTTAAACACATTTTTTGATTCTTGTAAATATTATATTAATAACCTCTTCAAATATATATTTCGTTAAATCCTTTTCACCTGAATAAAAACAAAAACAAAACCAAATACAAAAAAACGAAATATTATAATTTTCATTTCTGGTGCTTTTAGTTCCTATTTTTATATTGAGGCGTAGAAAGTGAAAAATCCCAAAAAAATATACGCAAATTAGTTGCTTAAGAAATTTGTATTTTTTCGTTTATAAATTAAAATAATTTAATTATTAATGCTTTTAAAGCAAATCTTAAATGTTAAATATTTTTTACTTTTTATTTTTACAAAATATTGGTTAAACCTAAGTTAGCTTATTTTCCATACAACATTGACATCATTAATGACATAAAAAATTATTAAATAATAATATTCATTATATTTACTCACCTCAACACATATAATCAAAATAATTTAAAAACATTTTTTATGGCAATACATTGTACAACTGTAAATATTAATTGAAATTTATATATACCAATATTAGTATTAATATATTTAAAAGTAAAATAAATAAATAAAATTTAAAAAAAAAAAAAAACTAAAATAAAATAAAGCAAAATGCAGACGCCCATTAATTGTAGAAATATAAATAAGTTGGAGTTTATTGTCAAAGCTAAATAGTATTATGATTGTACCAAAATTTTCAAAACAAAAACTAAAACAAAAACAAAACATTAGTATGTACCATTTGTATATTGTATAAGCAATGCAAACACTTAATAAAACATACATATTTACACAAAATTCACATGCACTTTTGTTCGTTGATTTTTTGTTTTTATAATTTTCTAAAAATAATCAAGTGGCTTGGGTGCGCGAAAAGAGGCAAAAAAAGTATGTGAATTATCTTTTAGTTAACAATTTGTCCGAAGAAAGCAGTTTTGAAGCTGACATCGAATTCCTACTCCTATCCACTCTTATCTACCCAAAACGCAGTTGGTCTTGAAGATTAAACAGTAAATAAATTTTTAATTTTTTTTTTTTACTCCGCTTTTATTGTTGATATTTTCTCAAAGAAATTTGTGTTAAAATATTTAACTTATAAGATTATAATCTTAAAATTGTAGGTTTCTCAAAGTACTGTTATCATAAAGAAAGTCAAAAGAAAAGGTTGTATTTTTTTAAATAATTTTTTAATATTTTTTCTGATATTTATTTGGGTATGTGAAACCAAAAAATTCATATAAAATTCTTAACTATTTTACTAATTTATCAATTCTTCTTTTTTACTGCCGTAGACGCCGTTAACGCAATTATTACCGAGTGTTAGTCTTAAATTTACAAAATGCTTCATGTTTCTCTAGTAATTTACACATATTCAGATTTCACATTGAAATTAAATGACTAATTTTTTTAGCACTAAAAAATTCAATCTAATATTTTAATTAAAATATACCCTGCACAACTTCGAAAATATAGGGTGAAATGCATACAGAAACTCGTTTATGAGTCAATGAAAAATCACAATCTAAGGACTAAAAGTTGTTTGTTTTTCTATTTGATTCAAATGTTGCGTCAATTTTGGGGCACCCTAAATGTTACTGATAATATATATGGAGGAGAATTCTAACTTTTCAATTTTTTATTTTTTTTTTTTTTGATAAAATGCATATAATGAAAAAATAAAAAAATAAAACTAATTTATAATTCTTTTACAGTTATGAATATTTTTTCACTATCATTTCACGTTTTTTCGAAATTGTTGTATATTCAAAATATAAAAATTACGTAGAAGCTAGGCATGCTACCTCCTTATTTGGGTTCTAAAGGGAATAGTATTTATATTGCTAAAATATTAATTATAAGGTTCTTATTTATTTCGACGGACCCTACATTAAAAGATATTATTTTCACTCTTTTAAAAAAAAAACACTTTTTTCAACACAAAAAAAACGGACCGAATTAATTTGTAGATCCAACCATAAATTAAGATTATTTTAGGTTTGGTTCATATATGTTGCAATCCTAGCACACATTTACAAAAAATATATGCCAGACGCGAACAATTTCTGACAAATTTTATTCTTGACACGGCACAATCCAGACAAGAAATCTTCACAAAAAATCCGTCAAAGTATGCAAATAGTTGGTGGAATTTGTACTGTACTTTGAATGTTTTTTAGATATAGTGTAAATGTGTTAACGATAAATTTCCCGTTAATTAAAAAATTTCAATCGATTCGGTTAAAACATTCGGAAATATTATCGTTAACGCAGTAATCAAAAGAAATCTTATTTCGCTTTTTACCCAAAACGAAAAGCTGTCGTCAATGTTAAATCGTTAACAGATAATGTTAAACGTTAACAGTGAAGTGTGCTGTTAATATCATAGCCGGCAGTCACTTTAAAGTTAATATAATACTATCGTTAGTTAGCGGAGAACTTATAATAAGTTCTCTGGTGCAGTTTCAACATTAACATTTCCATTTCGTTTCGATAAAATTCCGCTGAAGGGAAGCAAAATCATTTCGTTAATTTTATTTTTCATATTAACAAAACGCAATGGCGTCATTACGTTAGTTGAGCATCTCTAGTGTCAACAATCTATCTATTGTAAGAATGGATTTGCAAATAAAGTAAATATTTTTTTAAGAAGTTCTTAAAACCAAAATTAAGAAATATTGCCACGATTTTCCTTGTGCAATGTTTGTGAAATTAAAAAGAAGTATGAAAGTATGCTACACAACTTTAAAATATTTATTAAAAAAAAAATTTTTCTTTATTCCATATGAAAGGATTATTGTGCTAATGGTTTTATTCAATTTGACAACAGTTTTTGGATACTAATTTTTAAATCCATAAAACATCAAACGAACTTAACACTTTTGTATATTACAATCACTTCCATTCTCAGTGTATTGAAGAAAGAATTTTACTTAAAATTAATAAAAGGTCATTTTGTACTACTTTCTGAGTAAAAATCTGTCGGGATTTTTCCTTGTCTATATACCGTATTATAAACACTTTGTCTGGTCGGAAATATGTCTTGTTTAGATTATAGAAAATTGTCTGAATGGATTTTAAAATTCGGTATTACAAAGTATTTCTTCATTGCTAAATTCTGTCAAGGCATCATTGGATGACAACTTGAAGAAAACATGGTTATTTCCAAAGCTTTGAGAAACTTTAAAAGTAGCCGCTTTC